TATAGACAGGACCGCATTTAGGGGGGCACTGGGTACAACTGCCCCTGGTGCCAGCATTTTAGGGGCGCCAAAATATTGTGGTCCGAAATTTGTTTACTTGGAAATTATTAAAATTTTATAATTTTAATTATTTTAGTAAATAATAACAGTATTATATATTTATGTAATAGAATTTAGTATAATAGTATTATATAAATACTAAATAGTATTATGCTGTTTGACATTTTTTTAATTAATATTAATTTGCATAGTTTTATATAATTGTATTTTATTTATTCATGAAGTACCTACTTAAATATGTTAAAAAAAACAACTTATAATAGTTTCTAATCCAAAATGGCGTAAATGACAATTGTAAAAATGTTCAGGAGAGTATAAAAACCAAATTCGTAAAAAAATAATTTTAATATATGTGATAAATGTAATATGATGCGTAAGCGGCCACTTAAAGCATAAATTAATAAAATGATGTCGCTTAAGATTACTTTTGAAACTTCATTTAAACAGCACCCCTGCTAATTAATGTAATTTAAGATACAATCTTTTAAAATCTATATAAAATGGAATAGTTAATCAATCGACAAGATAGTAAGCTTAATCGAATCGTCATTCTGGCGTTTACATCATGATACGAAAAAACGTGTTTTGTAAAAACTGCCGTTTACGCTGTTTTGGCTTGGAACCGTCGAATTATGATAAATATTATTATAATTTATAAGCAAGGTTTGAATGACATAAAATGTATCTTTGCGGATAGAGGATCAAGCAATTACTAAACAATATTTTTTAAAAAAAGACTCATTGTAAAATTAATATTCTTTTCTGCGGTCAAAATCTAAAAGGTTAATGAGGATCTATCTCCCATATTTTCCGTGAGTAGGCCCCTTAGGGGGGAGCAATTTTGTTCACCGGGGCTCAGGGGTCGCCAATTTCAATAAAATGTAAAAAAAAAATTGTTAATTTACTATGCGATATTGGAAGATTGGAATACGATATCTAAAATCGAATTTCTTACGATTGTTAAAAAAAATTATCCTCTACAATTTTTATAATAGATAGTTTTGTTGTACACTGCTTCAATAAGCTGTATTACTTGAAGAACAAAAGTATAGTTTTTATTTGTATAAAATTCGGATACGAATACAAAATATAAAATAGAACCAAATTAAATAATATTTGTCACAAATATAATAATCATTTTCTCATCTGGTTATTTATAAACTACTAGCCAACCCGTTATAGCTTCGCTCGTGATTGGTTGTTTATTTTGCCTTCGGACGATGATATATGAAATTTTTTATTCAAATTTTATCGTTTAATGTGATCGGCAAGTAAATATACAAAACAGTTAATGAAAAAGTGAATTGTTTCTAGCAGTATTAATTAAAAATATATTTTTATTAAAAATGGCTGATCCCTTGCACTTCGTTGCCCGTTAAATGTACCAACTCTATATGACTCGAACTTTGTTCAATTCGTTATTTAATATTCAGTGGATGGCGTTCAAAATTTATCTTAACTTTTTCGTCCTAATTTTCGGGTGGATTTTCTTAAAATGATCTTACTTCAGAGTTAAGAACTTTCTCTTGACCATTACAAATACAAAAAAAAAAGATTTGCGAAATTGGTCCAGCTGTTCACGCGTGATGCCGCGTAAAAAGGAATATATATTTAATTTATACATAGAGATAAATACATAATATAATAGTATAATATAGATAAATTGTTGAATTTTACTTCTCGGAACAATTATTCATAATATCTACCACCCATAAAACACACACAAAAGAAAAAAGGTCAGGTTACAGGTAACTGGAAACCCGCAGTACAATATATATAATAATATAATATATAGGTACACAATTTATACGTTTATTTTAATTAATGTAAGCTAATTATTTATTAACTTTATCGTACTAAATTTAAGTCTAAAACCTTCTCTGTGATGTCCTCTTTAATTTAAAAAAAAACTACATGACGATTGAATAAGTAGTTTCAGAGTTTATCCCGAACAAAAAAAAGCTACTTCATTTTAAATAGTAGTACAGTTATAGATATTGATGTACGGGCGCTCGGCTGCGATAGTAACCTGTTTTGATCATGGTGCAGTACTGCCGTTATCGCACGAGGTGTGGTGTTATGAACACCTGTATCGAACGCTGCCCCTGCCACTTTGCGAGTTCCAATAATATTGGTTACTGAGTGGTTTAATTGTAAAAATACCTATTAACAAAATTGTAAAGGAGATTTTCATAAGCATTTAAACATCGAATTTTTCAAAATCTCGAAAATTATTAATCATCGTAATTAATAAATTATAAAATGTTCAGTTTTTATAGCTAAGGATTGAAAATTTAAAACAAGATTCCACGTAAGTAGTTAATTCTCTTACCGAAAAATCTAAAAAATATACAATCACAGTTTATTTTTATAGTCATTTTATGTTCAAATTTGGACGAAATTACATATTAAAAAACCTAGTTATTTTGTTGTGATTATATAATATTATTCGTGGGTACCTACTTGAAACTTCTAAAGTGTACTATTATATATCTATGATAGTATCAGGATTCAGGGTTTGTTATTGATGTTGATGTATAACGTGTTATAAGTACCTAATGGATATTGTGATAATGTGATATGATCAGGCGCGGACTGGTAAAAAAGGGCAAGGGATGCTACATAATTTAAAGGGCAAATAACGAAAATTGTTAGGGCGAATTTAAAACATGTACCAACCTAGATAATTTATAAGATATTAATATATTTTATATTGTTTTGAAAAAAATATTAAATATTGAATATACGTTAAAAACATAAATGAGTACCAAGTTACAACAAACTTTCAATAAAAATTTTACAATATCATAGATCACTAATAATCTTAAGTTGGTAATAACGATCTGCTGTTCATTAGGTATCTAGAGTCTTTAAATATATAATAAATAATATTAATTATGAAATATATTTTGGGGCAAGGGATGTAGCTATGATTAATTTAAATTTGGAATTGATTATAGGTCCATTTTTTTTTTGAATACCATAGCTAAGTATTAATTTGTATTTTAAATCCTGACGCCATACCGTCTTCGCTCAGAATGTTTTCTTATACACTGATATTGCTATCATTGAATTTCAAATTTAATAGCATCCCATTATTACAGTGCCCCACTTGTAACCCTATTGTTACAGCAGAGCGACATCCATCTTACCCATCTTTTTCGCTATGTATTGACATGTTGTGCGCGTGTGAGAGTGGCTTCCGGCGCGGTTGACCGACTCGACGTGCAGCGATTCTCGGAAACGATAACGGATTACTCACACTAATGTTCATTTACTACTCACACATAGTACAGTATTAATTTATATGTCACATGAATTGCCTAAATAGTACTCCTTAAAATATGCTACGGTGCAGCCCCCTTAAGGCGCCTCGCTACAGTGATATTTGAGCGAAACATTAGGCAATTTCTAATCTTTGTAATAGCCGCCCGGGATCTATTTTGTTAGTTGTAAATGATTATTAGTGTGGGTGAAATTAAATGCGTGTATCGACGGAAATCGCTCTCTTACGCGCATACACATGACAACAACTCGATAACCATATAAATTTCACTACACTCATTTTAAAACAATATAGGTACTTATTGTTTTGACAAAATTAAAGTTAGTTAACGTTGTCTGATTTCGATTCTGAAAAAATATCTGAATTCAGGAGAAAAATGTCTGTAGATGGTAGATCGTACGAAACATTTTCCGTTTTTAATATTAATTTTGATTTTATTTATGATTCTAAAAAGTTCATATTTTCAAGTTTTCAATTACAGTTCACAATAATATAAAATTTAGTTTTTACAAAGTGCTTCTTGGGATCTTTAGACAATTTTCTGGTGAGTTAAAATTTTTTTTCAGAATCAAAATCAGACAACTTTAACTAACTTTAATTTTGTCAATACTTTTTCAGCTAAAATCTACGGCAGTAGTAGCCGCTAAATATTTTATTAATTTCAGCAGGATGTATTTATAGTATTATATGACGTTGTCACATAATAAGTATACGAAATATTTCTATATTTTTTTTTTCATAATGAAAACAGTACACATTTAATTGTTATAAGATGTTTAGGTCCTCCCCCCCTTTATAAATCCTGGCTACGCCACTGATATAACATACATACTTTTTGTCGTTAATCATTTTATTGATGGTCTTCCGTCTTCGTCTTCTCCAAGACAAAAAGAAATACAAAAATTTAAATAAATTATTTTTATAAAGTAATTATAAAATAACTTATATTTCTAATACATTTCTATATATGTTTGATTTGGTCAAAAGGCGATAAGGGAAGGATACGATTTTGGTAAAATAGGTTACCTATGCTCAAAAGTCCGATAAACATTTTCAAACCATCTTTAAAAAAAAAATGCAGATATAGCCATTATAGGTACCCTTGGTATTATGCGTAGCTATAATAGACGTTATTTTATTATTGTTATCAACACAGTTCGTAATCAATAGTTACGAATTTATGATTAGCTAATCAGTACACTGTAATTATATTTAATATGGTTACCAGCTAATATTCAATAACAATACACATCTTAGATATTGTTTCGAATTACTATTGTTATTTCCTTACTTAGGTCTCCTCCGTAGTCCGTATATGCACATTCACGTTTACCTACGACCTATATATTAAAGTATATAGGTAGCCAGGTAGGTACATCAAAATTTCATAATCTGCCGTAATCGACCTGACCTGTCCTGTGCTTACATATGGCGCTGTGCCGCCTATGTCTATCTGATGCTACCAACAGTTAGCCACAACAGCCGTGTATAAATCTTTGCCGATATATTCTTCTCGTCGTCGTCCAAATTATTATACAATAAATACCTATACCATCTACAATCTACATGCTACATCGTATCCGTTTACCATAGCAGGTAGGTATACTGTATATCACTTATCTGTGCCGTTTACCTATACTAGTACCTATACGATATGTGTGACATGGAACGGGAATTCGACTGTTTGGTGACGTTCGTCGCGGACACCGTGGTCCGGTGGTCGTGCCGCCGTGGAGGCATCCGGGTGGACACTTTGCAACAGGCGCTGTGCGAGCGGTACGGACCAGAACACTTCCGCCGGAAGCGCAACGCCGACATGCTGGCCGAGGCCGTCGAATATCTGATCTACACGAACAGAGTGAGCTTGAGTTGTTGCGAAGGTGGAGACCCGCGTCCATGATGTATTGACCATAATATTATTGTTCGTGATGTGTATGATATATAGGCATACAGCATAAGACGTGAAAACGAATAAACGATATTATAGTATTATAACACTGCACGTAATAAGTAATAACTTTTATAATATAACATTTATATTTTGTAATGTGTATATTTATGTGTACATTATTTCATAAAAGTTACGACGATTTTCTATTCCCTATTTAAATATACAGAGTGATCCATTTAAGTATGACACTAATTATTTCGAAAAGTATTAATTTGTTTTTCCTTTATTATTATATACACAATCTGTACCTCGTGGGTACAATGAGAGTATTAGCTGAGTATAAATATAATACATGAAAAGGCTTGATAAAAGCAGGCACCCAGTGATGATACTTAAAAATTGAGGTTATACATTAATTTATATATAATATATATATTATATATATGTGAATTTATTTATTTTTTATATTTTAATATTAAGTTAGCATATCTTTACACCAGTTGCGTTTTAAACGCCTTGGAGGATTACCCGGGATAACAATTGCTGAACAAGCTTTAATTAAAGGATTGGGATGAGTTGCAAGCCGATTGTGGAATCTTTTATAATAAGTGACTGCTTCTTCTTTTACAGTTTTAATTTTCAGGTCAGTGTGAAGGGTATGATTAGAAACATAAAAGTACGTTAATTTTCTTAATTTAATATTTTGAAAAGCCTGAATACGATTTGTATCTTATTTTTTTGCATTTCCCCAGAGTTGGAGACCATAGGTCCAAATGGGTTTGATGAGGGGGGAGTCACCGTTTTCGGCCAAAATGTCCCCTTCACTTTTCGGCCAAAACTAACCGTTCCCTTTTCGACCAGTTTTCTAATTATAACAACTGAACTTAACAATTTTTATATTTAATTAAATAAAAAATAAAACAATTGGCAATAAACTGTTATAACATTTTATTATTATTGTTATCATATCAATAAATTTAATAGGCAAATTTATCGAATAAAAATTAATGTAGCCATATAATACATATAACCATTGTAGTGGCTTATCTATGGGGGGATATGGGGGTTATATCCCCCCCGGGAGGATATTTAAATGTAATAATTTAAAAAAAATTAATATAGTCTTATAATACCTATGTAATAATAATTATGATAACAAAATTCACTTTTTATAATTGTATGATATTTGTTTTACAAATTTGTAACGACTTATTTTACTACTTTTATAGTCTTCAATGTAAGCTTCATTTCTTCGTTGCCGTTCCACATTTTTTGCATCACGAGGTGTTTTTAAAATATTGATACTTTTAATTTTTATGTATATATCTGTTTGAATTTCATTAATGAGGACAGCTAATCAGCTCATTATGGATGGAGTATGTTTATAAAAGCTTTGATTGAAAAAGGAGTGGAACGACTCGCAAGCATTAGTTGTTCTAGCCAAACTTCCCGACGCAGCAGCCCAATATTGAGGTGGAAATAAGCTCTCTTCATTTATGAAACTGTCAGTCAAGTAATCACAGTATTTTTTTAATCTTTCATCATCAGGACAGTCCGACATAAAATCAATTACAAAACAAAAGAAAGAATTTTCTTTCGATTTTCATAAATATTTTTGGTTATTCTTTTTGACACATTTGTACAAATTTCTTGCATAACAATTTGTTTTGGTCTACTATGAAGATCATCTTCAGCTTTTCTTTTACAAGCTGAATTAATTATTTGACGATCAATTAAATTCCTTGTATATGGACCATGGTTTATGTGTGTTACATTCTCGCTTTCGGAGCAAATTTTATTTGTTTGATTATCTGTATATACTATACCATCACACTTATTACGATCAATGCACTTCCAACGAGTTGTGCCGTCCAATTTTGTATTAGCTTTTGAAAATTTAAAAAGTTTAAAAACTATTGAAGACTTATCCCGATTACTTTCAATAAATTCGGTCATAATTTAACTAATTTTAATTTAAAAAAAAACGTCTATATTATGTACTATGTAGGTACCTATGACCTATGTATACGAGAACACTTTCATACTGAGTGTTTATCGTCGTTTCGTACAATGTGTATGTGTGTCGTGTTAAATTGGTGACCACGATAGCATATACAATATACATATACCTAATTGGTTACCATTATATAATATATATATTAGTCATTAGATAAGATAAAAACGATAAGTTACTATACGTTACGTATATATATACTACTATTTAAAGACTCTATAGGTATACTTTGGACTCATCACTATAACTAATTGGGTTGCGTTTTATATTATATTATATCAAACAAGGAAAAACACTGGTTTATCTTTATTAAATTAAACTTACATTGAAGAGAAAGATAATAAAAATAGTAACATTTTTCAAACAAAAATTAATTGTTAGGTAATTTATTTGACTGAAATCATTTGATTGCCAATTGTTTTATTTTATTATTTTTTCACTCAAATGTAGGTAATAATATTTATCAAAAAATTGTTAAGTTCAGTTGTTATAATTGTACATTTTGGCCGAAAGGGGGCCGCCCGATGAAGGATTTATACATAGTTTTATATTAAGGTTGGTGTGTTTGTTATTGACTAGTAAAGATTTTTTTTATTAAACAAAATTTTATATACAATCTGTAATTACAATTTATTATATTACAAAGAGTACCTAAATTTGATGAGGATGATTACAAGAGGGGGAAGTCACCCATTGGTGACACCCCATACTCCATAGTAAAGATTTAAGCATACGAAGTCGCAGATTTAGTTGACGTCTTTTTACACGTGTATGTTGGGCCCAGTTAGTCTATACGGTCAAGAGTTTTTCTAAAACTGCAGTATAATATTTTAATTTTTTTCACCCTTATATTTATTGGTGAAATCACTATCAACTTTTGATTTTCAAATGATAACATATATAATAAAAAGGTCATAATATTTCGTTAACCATTATCGTCACTGCAGCGATAAATAAAATTTTAATAAAAAATTACCAAACATTTTTTGACGTAAAATCTCCATCACTACCAATACTTATTATATAATGTCAAAATTCCAATAACTCATTATTGACGTTATTCAGTCAGTATATTGTCAATGTTATAACACTATTAACATATTTTAACACTACCTAAGACATAGGTAACTTATATTTGTGTACCAAAAAATTTCTTATTGCGATACGTTGTTGAGCCTTTGCTCAATATTGCACTTTGAGTTTAGACCATAATATAATAATATGAGTTGGTACTTGATACTTGATAGGTACCTACCATAGTCCATAGACCACAGTTAAAGATTATCTTTAATCGTGGTACCTACCTACTTTACTTGTTACTTGATAATAATTGATAAATTATTATAATTTACCTACCTATTGGCCATTACCATATTGATTATACAATGTATAATATCATATTATCATATGTATATAAATAAAATTATACTATGTATAATCAATGCTATTGCCTACCTACACTCTACAGGCTAGTGGCTACAGTCTACAATAGTCTAGTAGACTACTCTATAGTCATACCTACCTACTGATTAAAGTCCATTATTTAGTTAGACAGGTATTACGTTAATTAGCACTTAATAGAATAATTTAAATACACGATGGGTACAAGGGTATACGGTTGTGGTTGTCAATTACACAATCACTGAATCACTGTGTCAGATAAAATATGTGAATATATTATATTGTACACACAGTCACACAAATATATAAAAATACTTTTACGTATTTTTATATATTATTTGCGGTTGACATTTGTTTAATAATTTATTTTACCTTATCACTTATCAGCTGTTGAATGTTTTAAGTGTTTAGTGTCTAACGACTTTACAGTTTAACGTAATAACGTGTCTTTTTGTACTCATAAAACATAGGTACAAAAAATAAATAATTTTCTTCTAGAATTAGTAGAATATTCGATGATACTAAGTAACAAAATGCACCTCCTGGATGGCAGCTTTATCAGTGGTGTAACACCTTATGTAGATATTGACAGTGTTATGAAACATCCACTTTGGGGATCACATTTGCTTTTAAACAACGAAGATGCTGTTATTCGTGGGCACAAAGATTACATTAAAGGTTAGGATAGGTTTCAGAAAAAATGATTTTTTTTTATTTTAATAATTTTCATGTGTACCTAATTATTTATTACCTATACAACAGCTGGAGCCGATTTTTTAACCACCATCACATATCAAGCAAGCATTGGAGGCTTTCAAAAATATTTGAACCTAGATTACGATCAGAGTTTTGAATTGATTAAGAAATCTGTAATAATTTGTCGGCAAGCAATAACAGAGGAAAATGTAGGTAACTATATTATTGTTTAAATTACCTATTGTAAATCAAACATGTACTTCTATATTAGATTATTGCCTATCTACAGAAATAATATATTCTACATTACCCAGTATCTAATACCTATATACCTTAGTAGTATCAGTATAGAAGGCTGTGAAATCAAGTCACAAAAATATTTTATGATTTTTTAAGATATAGTAATTTACAGAACGCAATATACAAGTAATGGGATCTGTTGGTCCATATGGTGCCTCATTACGTGATTGTTCAGAATATAATGGTAATTACATTGATACCATAAATTTAAAAGAATTATATGATTGGCATAAGCCTCGAATTCAAGCATTGGTGGAGGCTGGAGTCGATGTAATGCTTTTTGAAACCATACCTTCTGTCATTGAGGCTACTATTTTGCTAAGCATACTGACTGAATTTCCAAATCAAAAAGCATGTTTATCGTTCTCATGCAAGGTAATTTTTTTTACCATCATAATAAAGTATTATAATGTATTATCTTCATTAGTGTCTGTCAAACCAGGGAGATTGCAGAGTGTGCGACTGCGTGCCCTGGATCTATCTCAAAAAAAAAAAAATATGAAACAAAATATGCAATATTAAACATAATAATATTATATAATTCCTGTAACTACATGCTGTACTTGTGAACAGTTGTTCTCAAAATTATAACCTGATAAAATCAACAATGAATCAAAAAGAACTCTATAACGGTGAATCAAGTTTTAACTATAAAAATAGATTTTGATGCTGTAGATAATTAATGACTAGGGCCCGGATTTAAATGCTCTAAAAAACAGCCAAAAATGCATGTTACCCAAATAATGCCCTTAAAAATTGACTTATAAAATTATTTTTTTAATTCATGTTTTATTAAATACCTTCTTACCTAATATATAATTTACAATAAACTTAAAAAAATAGACTAAACATTTATATATAAAAAAAAAAAACTAAATTTGAACAATTTCATGAAAATTTGTTCAATTTATGCTGCAATTAATTGACAATTTTTAAACCTATTAAATCCTATTAATCCAAACATCAAGAAAAACAAATTAATAAACTATCTTTAGATAATATTATAAATTAGTTAAATTTAAAGTAGTAAGTTGTATAATGTACAAATATCTATTATCTATCCATTAAAACTAACAAAATTACTGAAAAATTCAAAATAAAACTTGTACCGTTGAAGTATCTGTTTTAAGAAACAAATTATGTACTTTTAAAACATTGATATAAGCAATAATGTAGAAGTAAAGTTAAAATAATATTATAATTATAAAGAAAAAATTAATTGATAAATGTGATCAAGAATCAATATAGATAATTTGGAGAGAGGAAAGAGCTCCTACTAGTATGTTTGGGAAATGAGAACTTATATACCGTAAAGAGTCGTGCCTGGGGCAGCCTATAGTTAATTTAATAAAAAAAAAAAATTGCATAAATTGTAAAAAGTTACATCACGAATTATATAAAAGTAAATAATAACATATCAAGTTATAGGTATTCTGTATTTATATATTAAAAACATTGGTTTAGATTGATGTTTGTAATACCTTTCTTAGGACGGCAATCATTTGAGTCACGGTGAAACATTTTCAAGTGCAGTTGAAATGTTCTGGTCAAACGATTACCGTAAACAGTTAATTGCTATTGGTATGAACTGTATGCACCCAAAATTTATTACACCACTTTTGATGTCCGTAAAGACTAAAAATGTTAATTTTATTACTTATCCAAACGGAGGTGGCATTTGGGATATCGCTAAAGATTGGTAATTTAATATTTATATAAGGTATAAAAAGTTTTTTTAATTGGATTAATGTTTTCAGTTATGATGATACTCAAATATATAAAGTTTCTATAGATGATCTTAACATATGGAATAAAAAAGGATTGAAAATATTTGGAGGCTGTTGTAAAACTGATGCTATTGAAATAGCACGTTTAAGAAGTTTAATAGACGATCTACATTTATAATGCAGTTTTTATAATTTTAATGTTTGTATGATTTATGTTTACATGTTATTGTTAATTATGGACTTTGATGTAAAATATATTTATATTTTTTCTTTTTACATTATTGACTAACAAGTCGTAAGTATTTGAATTCATTCCAATTAAAATTATACTTTGTATCCAAATTACTAGCCATATTAATATGTTAATTAAATCAGTAATGAAGTAAATCAGTATCATAATAATCTATATAAACCTTACAACAGTACTAAGTGTTTATTATTTTACTTCAAGCCATATTTCACATGCAATAAATTAATATATATTTTATATAATAACATTATGTAATATAGTATTTATAAATCTATTAAACATTTAAGATATATAACTATAAATTATTTAATTTTTGTAGAAACAACAACTTGTCATTGAAATGCTTAATTACTCATGCTTCTAAGAATGTTAAGTTCTATCTAATTGTATTGCTTATAATATTAGTAGCAATCTTCAGTGAACAAATTATTTAAAAACAATGTACAAAGAATTTATTATTTTTTTTTTTTCAAATTTTTTATATACTTTAAAATTAAAGACAGTAAAAGCAAAAATGATATGATATATGTTTATAGCCAGTTAAGGGGCGTCTGAAAACATCTTATTGACGATAAAAGTATAAAATCAAATTACAAAACTATTTTAGCCTACCTATTTGGATTTTTCTGGTTGCTATATCCCCAGTTCAGCAGTTCATCAAATTAGGCTGCACCAAATACCAATTGCTATTGCAAAGGATATAATATGGAAAAACTATATAGTTGTAATAAATAGGTAAATACTAAATACCTAAATACCAATAAATATTCATTTGATAATAAATTATAAAAATTAATATTTATTTTATGTCATGAACAAAACAAAACAAAAAAAGGTGCTCTGCTGCACAGTGCCACAGTAGGTTACAAGTGGGTCACTGTAAAATGGATAATATTAAATTTGAATTCAATGATATAGTATCATTGTATAAGAAAAACGATTCTGAGCGGAGACTGTATGTCAGTCTAGGTATAAGACATATTATATACTTATCTATCGTATTAAAAAAAATTACCTAAAATAGGTACCTACAATAAATTCCAAATTAATCATATCACAATATCCATTACCTAGGTACTTATAATGCGTTATACGTCAACAACAAACCCTGATACTATCATAGTCCATAGTCCATATATATATAATAGTGTACCTTTAGAAGTTTCAAGTACCCACAAATAATATTACACAATCACAACAAAATAACTAAAATAGTTATTCTAGGTTTTTTTTTATGTAATTTTGTCCAAAGTTGAACTTAAAATGACTATAAAAATAAACTGTGCTTTTGTATTTTTAGATTTTTTGGTAACAGAATTAACTACTTACGTGAAATTTTGTTTTAAATTTTCAATCCTTAGATATAAAAGTCAAACATTTTATACATTTTTAACTACAAAATAATTATTCAATTTTAAATTTGATAAATTTTGTCAAAATTCGATCTTTAAATGCTTATAAAAAAAAATTGTACCTATGTATTTTTAATATTTTTCAACTGATATTTTAACAATATATCAGGAGCCTTGTATTACATTTTTACACTTTTTGGCCCAACAGATAAAACTTAGTGATATTTATAGAAAAAAAAAACTAAAAAAATTGAAAACTGAAAATGTCCGTAAATAGCTCAAAAAGAGTCAAAATATTTTCAAAATTGTATGGTGTAGAGGAAATGCTAATATAAATATTCAGTCAAAGTTTCATGTATCTACGGTCATTTGTTTAAGAGTTGCACCAAAAACCAAAATCAATTTTTTCGAAAACAGATTTTGTGTAAAAATTCCCGTTTTTCCTTTATTTTTATTTTGTTTTTCACGGCGCTTTTGAAAACTACTGGGATTTTCACTTTTGACCCCCCAAAGTTCCAACTAGATTCACTTTTCTATCAGAAAAGCTACTGTTGAAGAAAATCCAAGCACTTTTACAGTCCTAAAAAGTGATGACAGACACAAAAAATAATTTTAAAAAAAAACACATCATTGTAAAATCAATACATTCATCGTTCCACTCAGAATCTAAAAAATAAAAAAAATAATTATAATATTACCTATTCAGAACATTCAACTGCACAATAAGCAAATCATAAAAAAGATTAAAATAAATAAATAAATAAATACTAGGTACCAACAACAAAACAACAAGTAAAACCATAGATTATAAATACTAGTATTTACAATCAATAATGGAACTAATTATAATGTTTTTTTCGTTATATAATATGCATTAAAGATTAATCATAAATAAATATTTATAATTAATTAGAATAACATTCAAAAGATCTAAGACAGTGCATAATAACATAACTACGAGGCACTTACAAAATATGGTTGTCCTCATAAACTAATAATTAGGCAGTATTTGATAGTTGTTGTTGAGAGTTTTGTTTTCAATAAATTCTGGTACTTATAGGCTATGACATATTTATATTTCATAATAATATTTAATGATACATTTTTTTGATTTACAGTGGTTGATAGATAATAAGTTTCACGTTGAACTAAATAATATTTAATCGGTAAGAATAATACAATACCTATTTTAAAATTTGAATGAAATTAGTTGATGCATTACTTAAGTAAATATAATTATATTTATAAGATTAACATTATTTCTCATGCAGATTCAAATATTCAATATGGATTATAAATTTCCAAATGAATTTATGTTTGGTGCTTCAACTGCAGCATATCAAATTGAAGGAGGCTGGAATGCAAACGGTATACAAATTATAGTTAAATAAATTAAACATGTATTACTTTAACATATATTATATAGTTAATTTTTTTCTATGCAAATAAAAATATAAAGCAAATAGCATATTATGTTTGCAATTCAAATTATTCAATAATCTAATACCCTTTTTAATATTATAGTTAATTACTACTATTTAATTATATTAATATTAACTGTGAATAATTATTTATTTTTGTAAATTCAAAATGTAATTATGTAAATTCTTTAGGAAAAGGAGAAAATATTTGGGATCATTTGGTTCATACTAGTCCGGAATTAATAAGAGATGGGACTAATGGAGATATTGCCTGTGATTCCTATCACAAGTATAAAGAAGATGTAGCACTTGCAAAAAATTTAAATGTAATTTTTTCTTTTTTATTCAAATTATAATACACCATAAATAATACATAAATATTTCACTATTTAGTTGAAGTTATATCGCTTTTCAATATCATGGGCTCGGATAGCACCATCTGGAGTAATGAGTTCATTAAATCTAGAAGGAATTGCATACTACAATCGTCTTATCGATGAACTTATCAACAATGATATTATTCCTTTAGTAAGTATTTTTTATAATTAAAAACGAGGGATGAAGTAAAATTAAATTTATAATTTAAATTATCTTCAGGTTACAATGTATCATTGGGACTTGCCACAATACCTACAAGATCTTGGAGGTTGGGTTAATCCAATTATGTCAGATTATTTTAAAGAATTTGCACGAGTGTTATTTACTTCCTTCGGAGACAGAGTAAATAAAATACATTTTTGAGAAATACGAATTATCTTTACATGTTATACTTATAATAGGTAAAATGGTGGATAACAATTAATGAACCAATGGAGGTTTGTAAAGGTTATGCCATTAAAGGCTATGCGCCATACTTGAATTTAAACAACACCGGATTTTATTTGGCAGCTCATACACAACTTATTGCACATGGAAAAGCATATAGGTTGTATGAAGAGATGTTTAAACCTACACAGCAAGGTGCTAATCAAATGGTAATGGAGTTTGTAATATTTAAGTCTTAAAACTTACATTTTTTTATAGGAAAAATAAGTATTTCAATAAATGGAGTATTTTTCATACCAAAAAATTTTGAGTCAGTTGATGACAAAAATACTGCTGAAAGAGCCAATCAATTCGAGGTAACAAAAACAGTTTGATTATATAATTATATTTATTTGTAAGATAAATTAACTTATTAGGTATAATATATTGTATATTTGTATGTTCTTAGAGAGGGTGGTTCAGTCATCCAGTGTACAAGGGAGACTATCCGCCAATAATGAGAAAATGGGTTGATAAAAAAAGTAAAGAAGAAGGTAGACCGTGGTCAACTTTACCAACATTTACAGAAGATGAGATTAAATTAATTAAAGGTGCATATTTAACAATTAACGCAACTATAGATAATTTATGTTCCAGTTACGTAGTAATAAGTTTAAAACAAATTTTCATATGTTTTTTTAGGTACAGCTGATTTTTATGCTCTCAATCATTATTCTTCTCGTTTGGTAACTCATGGAAGAGATCCAGATCCTCATTATAATTCAGACGCAGAATATGTTACTTCTGTAGATGAATCATGGTTAAAACCATCTGTTGCGCCGTGGCTTGTAGTAATAAATAAATCAAAGCTGTGTTGTGTATACTGTATATTACTAAAATCATAATATTTCAGCCAGTACCTGATGGATTAAGACAACTTTTGATATGGTTAAAAAATGAATATGGCAATCCACCTTTGATTATAACAGAAAATGGATATGGAGACAACGGTCAATTGGATGATTTTGATAGAATTAACTACATGAAGGTAGTAGTTTAGTATGAGTGTATGACAGTATGTAATTAATGCTAAAATTATTTTTATTTAACAGGGTTATTTAAATGCAACATTACGAGCAATACATGAAGATAATTGCAATATTATAGGATTTACTGTATGGTCACTCTTGGATAATTTTGAATGGATGGATGGTTTCGCGTAAGTTGTTTTATATTTGTCAATACAAAATTCTCCTTTATGTCTGTGAAGTATACATATTTAATGTTATAATACAGTAAATCATTATTTTTAAATGTAGGTTTAACTGTTTTGTTTTTTAGAATTCATTTTGGACTTGTTAAGGTAGATTTTAATAGTCCTCAAAGAACTCGTACTCCAAAAGCATCATATACATTTTTCAAGAACGTAGTATCAACTGGCCGATTGTAACATCTTCTATTAGTAAAATACCTTTATCTGAATTCTGAATTATATTATGAAAAAATCTTATTTATGATGATAATTATTTTTGTTGTTTATTCTTAAATCATAAATATTGCATTACCATACCTCTAACCTTTTGTAACAACTTGATATTGCTTATATAATATTATAATGTATAACTCTAAGATTCATTTAATTTATGGTTACTAATTACTATTTGATGAGTGAAACTTAATTGTAGAAGTATAATATCCATAATGAAAATATAATATAATAGTTTATTATATTATGTTAATTTTTACACATTTCACATATATTTAATTAATATGTGGCAAATATTTATAAACAAACAGAAGTGGTTTTTTTTAGGATTTAACTTTTAAGTGTTATTAAAAAAATGTTAATTTATTATAGATTCTTGAAAAAATCATTTTACCCTACCATCTTGCAAACAAGAAATTATTTATTTTTAAAAATTGAATTTTATTATTTTCACTTAAATTGTTAACATAGTAGTTTTTAAAGTATAAAAAAATGGATTATTATATGGCCCAACCTAACCAGATGGTTTATTTATAATTAACAATGATTACACAATTAAAGGGAGTCTATTCATTTAGTGCCTCATAAAAATTAAAAATAGTGTTATGTATTATTAAAAAACAAATTTTGATACAGAAATTCACAATCACATGGCTTTCAAGATAGGCAATCGCAATATGTACACATCAAAGTTCGACTCACACCTCATTTAACTTTCAGTGCGATGTTTATTGAAAGTTTGCTTGTCGATTGTTAAAACTTCGGATCCATATCCACTCAAAGCTTCAAGGAATAAAATAATATTTTATAGATTCAAAGCGAATAGTTTTTAGATCCAGTGACACTTACGGCTGCCGCTTTGAACTTATTGACGCTTAATTCTGCTGCTGGACGGCGATGTCGTATAACATAATATTGTTTTATATTTCATTTTCATTATAATATAGAAAGTTAACATTTGTATTTGCCGTGTACCGTAAAATATATGACCAAGGTTTTAAATATGCAACAAAACTTAAGATGAGCTTTATTCATAATTACAATTCAATAAAAATAATAATAAAAAGGTGGGTAAGTGAATGTTGCTCTGCTGTACAGTAGTTTACTAGTGGGTCACTACATAATGCAGGGGCGCAATTTCAATGAAAAATCTGGGAATGCTAAATCCCTTCTATTTTTTAAATATTATTTAATGTTATGGAAATCAGCTTAAAATGTAAATTAACATGAACAAATTGAGGGGTGCTAAATTCAAAATTTGGGGTACTAAGCACACTCAAGCTAAACTCAAATTGCGTCTATGATATAATTGTTGGTATTAAATTATACCATCATTTTTAGATTTAAAATTTGATGAGTTAACCACTAATTCGTGGATCAAATAATCTATAATTATGAGGGTAATATTCATTGATTCACTAACTGGAGCCCATACCCACCATTTGAATGTTTATAGTGCATTATGAAACAAAGAGGTTCCATAAGTATTTATCAATGGAGCTTTCCTTTTGCTTGAAAAGCGGTTTGAAGAAGAATTATAGGGATCCATGCATCCATCAAAGGATTCAATTATTTACATAAAAAGAGCCTTGTGATTAATTAATACAGAAATATTAATAATAATATCTTTACCTATATAACAATATTTTATTAAAAAATTTTTTTCTAAATTATATATAAATATTTTTTTGGGAGATCGGTTACAACCCACTACATGTAGATTGTGAAAGCAGAAAATTATGGTACATCACTTACGACACCAATATCAATTATTTTTACAACATTGGTTATATCTTATAGGTACCTATCACAGTATCACTTTATAGTATTTATAGTTTAGGTACAAACACAATATTAGGGCGATAAAAATATTTTATGAAATAATATACTTGCTGACTATCAACAAAATTATACCTATTTAAATCCCATAGCTTACATAAGACTATATTTAGTATTAATATGTTTGAAAATAATTACCCAATATAATACTTCAAATGGATTTCTATGCAGATTGACTGCAGCGACCGGTACGAGGCACAATTTCCCCTACTGTGCCGTGACAGTTTAGTTTGTATATTATATCAAAATTATAGAGACGAGTGTTGCCGAACATACCAAACATTAGAGGGATGTTACAGTGACATTTGTTGTCTCCGTCTTAAAAGTGAGTAACATACCAAATTTTACACACAACAAATCAAGTTTATCTTATTTTAAAATTGTAAATTGTTTGTACATCTTAAAATACTCATAAATTGCTTTAAAATAAAAATTTAATAATAAGCCTATGTTATTGCCTAGATAATAATCTTACTTTTAAATTTTATAAGATGTGAATTCACTCTAATTTTTAAACTAACAGAGCTAAACGTGATCTGTTGAGTGTACAATTTGTTATGAAAGAAACTGGTAAGACGAAGACAACAAATATCACTGTAGCGTCCCCTTAACAAACCGTCGTTGTAGAGTAGGGAATGCATGAATTCGGATGAGTTTTGGTCTGGGCCCGGTAATATTCTCTCCTAGCACAGAGTATAGTTCAGAATATTAAAATATTTTGTTTTTATGAGTATTTTCGAATTGTATTTATTTTTAAAATTCTTCATTTTAAGTTGGAACGTTAGGTTAGACATATTAATACAAAACAATTTATTAAGAAAAAAATATAGTGATCACATGTACAATCTTACAATATACCCCAACTGTCTTCAAAAGCTGAACATATCTTAGTGCATGTTAATGCGGCTGATAGTGGATAGTTACTTATTGCTACCGTTTGTTCGGCATAATCTGCTTTAATCTATGACATAATACGTTTAAGTTAGTTTATCATTATCATTAATAATAATTACTAAGCATATATAAATTTCAATACCTGTCCATGAGCCATTGCACCAACAACAAAAGCAATTGGAGCATCTTGAGGAACAAGTTCAGATGGTTTAATTGGTTTTTCAGCTGAAAATGATGTTGCCACTTTTCGACAACCTGCAGGTAAATGATCGGTGATTGGATTTTTTATTACCTTCATTAATTTGGCAGATGTTTCAGCTGCTCTTACACTAAATTTATGTAATAGCTGAACTAAAAAATGAACAATAAAATAAGACTTAATAATTAATATAATACCTAGGTATGTTAAAATATTATTATGTGCGTCTGAATCATGATTGATTATTACCCATTAGTCCAGCGAAACGTTTAAATGTTCTAGGGATTCGTGTTTGTGGATTAATTTCAATAAGAACATTATTCTCTGTGTGAATGTACACTTGAAGTAGCCCAGCACGATTTAGGGGACTGTCGAATAACATCAATAGACATTGATGAGAAATGTCAGGTCTACAATTTCCTATCTCTCGGCCGTGTTTTCGTAATATATGTGAGTGTTCATCAGGGTTTAATAGTTCAAAAGACTTTCCTACCTGTGAATTTTAAGACAAATTATCGTTTAACATTACAATATTAAATAATCAATCAATATTCGAATTACTTTAACAGTTTCCAACTGAGCGTTTTCTAAAATAACAATTAAACGTTTTTCATTGTCGTCCTTTACTTCTTTGGCTTTTCTCGTCAAATCAAATTCAGTATCTTCATCAGTACGCCTACGTTTTTTACCCATTATAATATATTATAAACAGTAGGAATAACAAGTATTAATATTATGAATTAAAAATTAAAAATTAATAAGAATTAAAAAACACGTGTTATCGACAGACTGTTGTTTAGATTTTATCACGATACTAAACTATTATCATTAGCTACTATCATTTAAAATTATTATCAGATATAGAATTTAATATTCAGTATGACCATAGAACAATATAATATTATGGTAAGACCATAATTCTAAGGTCAAAAAAGCAAAAATCACCAGAAAAACTGGAAATGAGCATTTTTTTGAAAAGTTGTAGAAGTAAGCAAAAAATAACACTTTCAAATTTCATAACGGTACATGTTTTAACACTACATACACTTCCATAGGCCATAGCACTCTGCTACATTTTAAGACAATCCATAAAAATAAGCAAATTTAATGCTTTATGTCTCGAGCCCTGATTATAACTCATAAACTAGGTACCTACTCGCTCTAAATTCGATTTTAATGTTTCAAAATACTTAGACAAATAGGTATTCTGCTTTGGAACATGAAATTAAAACACTATGTTATCATTCAAAAAAGTAAAATACTTAAAAAATTAAAAGGATAAAAAATATTTGAAAATATAATTTTTTTAACAAAAATGTTGTTTTGTAAACGCCTTGAAACTATGTAAAATAATATTTTCAAAAACATTTACACTTCTTGAAATAATGAGTGTTCACTGATAGAAAAATCACCTTGTATTATTGTCTATTGACTATGAAATCATGTTATTTTTTTTCTTCGTACCACATTTTGAATTAAGAAATATATTTTGTATCTATATTATCAAAATTGAAAATGGCAATGTTACAGAGTATTTTATACTTAATCGTGTAGGTTTTATTTGGTATTTCTATATATCCTTTTTTCCCTTTAGTACGAAAAAAATTTCGCATAATAGTTTTGCAAAAAAATGTGTTTTAAGCTCAGTCTTGTCAATTTTATTGACATTCATAGAAAAAAGATGCTATGCTGTACAGTAGGTTACAAATGGGTCACTGTATAATGGATCGATGGTATTAAATTTGAATAATTGAATTCAATGATATACCTAATATCATTGTATAAGAAAAACGATTCTGAGCGGAGACGGCATGTCAGTCTAGGTATAAGACATATTATATACCTACGCATCTATGGTATTAAAAAAAATTGACTTATAATAAATTCCAAATTAATCATATCATAATATCAATTAGGTACTTATAACGCGTTAATGCGTTATACATCAACAACAAACCCTGATACTATCATAGATATATAATAGTGTACTTTAGAAATTTTAAGTAGGTACCAGCTAATAATATTATACAATCACAACAAAATAACTAAAATAGTTATTCTAGGTTTTTTATTAAGTAATTTCGTCCAAATTTGAATTTAAAATGACTTTAAAAATAAACTGTGCTTATGTTTGTGCTTATCGAGTATAGAAAACGCAAATATAAACAACCAGTGAAAATTTCATGTACGGTCATTTGTTTTAAAGTTACACCAAAACCAAATTCGATTTTGAGTGAAAATTCCCGTTTTTCCTTAATTTTTATTCTATTTTTCTTGGCGCTTTTAAAAATTACTGGGAATTATAAATTTTGACTTCCCCAATTCACCAACGATATTCACTTTCCAATCGAACAAGATACTGAAGTTGAAAATCGAAGCATTATTTCGACTACTTATCGTGTACACAGACACAAAAATACAAAATTAAAAAAAAACACATCATTGTAAAATCAATACATTCATCGTTCCACTCAGAATCTTAAAGGAGGGCAAGTGGATGTCGCTCTGCTGACTGCTGTACAGTACCTAGGTTACTAATCGTGGGTAACTGTATAGTGGATGGTATTATATTTGAATTCGATGATATAATATCGATGTACCCATACAGAGGCTAAAATATAATTTTTTTCGTATACCTACTACACATTTTATATTAAACTTTTAGTTACCGCGAGGGGCTTTGCCACCCCGCCAAAAAAAGTGTATTGAATATATACACATAAACATAGAGTAATCAATTTCTATTTTTCTTTATCTACAGAGTATGGACTACATCGCAAGTTAACGATTTATGTCCGTATATTGGTACGATAATTAATTCGGTATTATACATAATACTGCAATAATGAATAAATGCACAGAACTATAATAATACTATACAATACCTACAGTAGACAGTGAATTGCGAAATAAAAATCCCCGATTCTAGGAAAAAACAGCCCAGACTTCAATATTAGGTACTCACATAATCACATGAAATTGATTGATTAAATGTTTTTTAAAAGCTAATTAATGTAATTACCACATTGTTAATATTTAATTATAAATAAACACAAGGTTTAGGAATAGCTATCATTAAAAAAATGATTGTATAATAAATAGGGTTTAAACATTAACAATAACATTATTTTGTTTTTGATTTGAAACAACTTAGGTACCTAAATATGTTACCTAATGGTTCTTTTAAAATAATATAGGTAAATACATTCAGTTACTATTGTTTGATAATTATTTGTAATTTGTTTTGATTATTGGAAATATTTTTATTTTGTAATATTTTAAATATTGTATCTATAAGTAAAACTTGTAAAATCGACTAATAATAATACGTAATAATTATTATTAATATTTAAAATTCTTATCTATCTATTTCCCAACGAAAAATCAAATAATTTTTCAATTAATGAAGAAAAAAGTGTAAAAAAAAGCTAGTATAGTAGTTATTACTTATTACAGCCTACAGGCCATTACATACTTTTTAATTTCGTATTCCACACTTAGTATTTCGTACTACACAAAGTGTGTCGTACACTCGTACTACACACAATTTTAGTAACTGGTGGTATACGAAAAACGATTCTGAGTGGAGACGGGTTGTCAGTGGGGATATTTTATATTATATTAATATTGTTATTACCTACTTATTAAGAGGACGTGATACCCGCATGTGTTGTCTCCGTCTTACAAGTTGAGAAATAATAAAGATCCATAGGTTTTTTTGTATAACTATAAGCCATAAGTGCAACTAGGGGGCTGGGGGGGGGGCTTAGTCCCCCCCAAAATAAATTATTTAATTGATTTATAAAATATTAATAAACCTTAAAAAATTCAGCTGTATTTCCCTTTTTTTTTTTTTTTTTGGAAAGTTCTTATAGCTTATAATTATTTTATATTGCCTACGCCTAATATATCAGAGTCCTATATTACTCTTATTTTCTCTTTTCTCTTTTCTCTTTGATACACGTTTTTATCGTTCGTTTTATGTACGCACCGATTAATTGGCAATTAAAAGTTATAATCTGTCACAGGTACACACAGATTTCTATATATAGAACTATATATTGGTATAGATATCTGTGCGGGTAGTGGGTACACGGTGACGGTGTTATTTTTTCAGTTTCCCGTTACAGATCCATTCCCCGCCGGTCTAAAAATCGATAAGCTTATTTTATTCGCCAATAGCATTAGTATTAAGTACTCAGTAGGTAATACACTAATACGTTCATCATCGTTTCCACGCGTTTATTGTCTACTATTTAGTGTTTTATTACTTATATTTTATTATTTTATTACTTTAATGCTTTATAATAGTTAATAATTATCTTTGAACAATTATTTACATTGGTTTAATTTTTAATAATTTTAATTTCGATTTTATCATGGAAAGCTCAAATAAAAAGTGTTTTGCCATATTCAACGTTCATAAAAAAAAGGCAATCAAATACAAATGAAGTTGTTCAACCCAGCATTGAATGAAATATTGAAATCACTCAAAATATCTCAAAAGACTCGCACAACGCACACGATATTCACATTTCAGATGTTGGAGTGAGATCGTCTCGTATAAGTGTCACCATATCTAATAATTTTCCAGGAGAATCCAATAACGATCTTTCTGATCTTGGAACTTTGGAAACAGGCCCTATTAGACCAACATTGGCAGTATGTTTATTTATTACTTAATAATTTATTAATCTGTTAAACTTTGCTGACTGAGCAGCTTTTAATTTAGGATTATCCTAAAACTAAGTTTGGTGCTCAAAATCGTGCATTATTTTCAAATTATTATAAAGATTATAATTGGTTAGAATATAGCATCAAGATTGATGCTTTATTTTGCTGATTTATTTGAAATTAATAAATGTGATCTTAAAAAGGAAATGGCTGTCTTTAAAAATTCATACTGCAATAATGAAAAAACAGATAGTTTTAGTGTCATTCAAGAAAATTTATCTAAAAAAGTATTCCCAAATTTTTATAGGATGGTTCAAGTTGCCAATATATTGCCAATTTCTTCTGCAACATCAGAGCGTGCATTTTCTGCCATGAGGCGAATTAATACGTACTTAAGATCTACAATGGAGCAAGATAGATTTATACTCCGGCCCACGAGAGATCAGTACCGTCACGAGCATGCAGAATGACCGGCAGCTACGGTGCGGAGCCCAATTTTCCCCACCATGTGCCAGAATGCCCCAATCATCGCAATTGCGAACCGACACCGACAGTCGCCGAAACGCTGTGGTTGGTTGAGTGGGAGATGCGCGAAATTTGGTCGAATAGCGGTACTGATCTCTCGTGGGCCGGAGTATAGTAATTTATCGATATTGAATATTGAAAAAGATCTAGAAATTGATCCTGAGATAATTTTGGAACAATTCACAGCCATCAACAAAAGAAAAATGAATCTTATATAAATATATAATATGTCAATAACTATTTTACGATGCATATAAATAAAATATATAATTAAAAGTAAATGTTGATATTAATGGTGTTTAAATTTTAAGATGATGGATCATCTATAGCATAGCCCCCTACGGGTTACTTTTGGTATAATATTGAGGTGGGGCTATAGCCCCCTTAAGATTTTGTGCTAGTTGCGCCACTGCTATAAGTTTTTAAAGTTCAAATGTTGAAAATATTTATCAAATTGAAAATCGACAATTTATTTAGGTTAAAAATTCATAAAA